TGCGATTGCGATGAAAGCCGGCGCATATCCCAGAAGAGCGTCCATGTCCTCAGACAGTGGTTGTTTTCAGAAGGAGACCCTTGTATTGTATCCGACCCGCGCGGTGCGAAGCTGCCGGACACTATGGCACCTTTTTGGGCATGGTCAATGGTCGTGTCCCTCTGCGGTCTCTTTTTCATTCGTGGTGGCAGCTTCCGAAAAGTCATCCGCAGTATCTTCGTATGCATCAAGTTGTAGTCCACTGATCGGCCCGGACGCACTTCTCTCTTTGTGTGTGGATGCGTGTCCCCCAAAACTAAATGACGGGCTCCCGTTTTCCATCTCATCCTTCCCGTCATTAGCAGTCTGGGGCTCACGGATGCCTTTCCCTGCCGTGCCCATCTTTGGGGTCCCCGCTGCCGTGTAGCTGCGTCCATTGTGCTGCGCTGCAGGCTCAGCATCTGCGCTATGCGAGATAACGGTCTGCCGGGCGATCCTCGGCGCCCAGAGGCGATGTTCTCCTAGTAGGTTCGTCGCGTTCGTGATGGTTTCATTCAGTGCCATCAGGTCCGTCAGCGTTGAATTGGCGTCTGTTGAATTGGTGCTGGGGCTGTTATTCATGGAAAGGTTCGCCAGGGATGTGACCGTGGGGGCAGTCGGTGAGGACGCGGACGTCGGTTTCCATATCAAACTGTAATAAATGGCTAAGATGATGGCAGCCAGGGATACTGATAACACGTACGCGAAAACGGTGGCCAGTCTAACCCACTTTTTGTTGGTCTTCGCAGCCATCTTCGCCTTTTTGTCCCCAGTGTATGTTGCAGGTTTACCTCTTTCCATGTTCGGCATGAAATCCCGCTCCCTCATGTTCCCCCTGTTTTTCCCCCGATGCTCCACCGACCCCTCCGTCTTGAAGGTGTTTGCTAATCCACAGTCCACGAATAAAACAGCTCTTTGTGCGGGAAGAATAAAATAAGACGACAGACACGTTTGGCTGCAAAATTGATTTTGCTTTCATTCAGCTGGCCCTGGAAGTCACCGCAGCTTGTATTTTAAATCCTCTGCACCACACCATTTCTGCATACAATCAAGCGCCGAATTATTATTTTCTGTTGTTTTTTTTTTTTGGGGTCCAGCATCCCAGGTCTGAAAAACAGTTATTTTATTCCAGCTCCATGGGAGTAAAAGCGTAAGGGATCCGCAGTACAAGATTTCATGTGATTTATCAGACCGATTAAGTGAGATCATAAGGTGCACAACTGTCTGTCTTATCCAACAAATGAAGTGGCTGCCTCAGCCTGAAACACAGAGAGGGAGGCGGGTGAGGGCTCTTAAAGGGGCGGCAGGAACGAAGCAAATGCGTTTGCTAATGGGAGAGCATCTCCTTCAAAACCACAATTTATGAGCATGGAACGACAGAAAGATCCTTAAGTGAGCAACCAAAGTGTTTCCTCCTTCCCTTTTACTTAAGTCCTGTAATTTTTTATCGCATTACACCACTTCATAGTTTGCATTTGTACCCCTAATCTAAGTAATATTTAGCCACAGACCATAGGAGAATTTTGGCATTATGCAAGATTAAATGCTTTGAAAGTCTTGACTGAGCATAAAATGATTTTAGAAGTACTTAAGGCTTATCGGGAAACCGGTTACTACACTGTCAGAAAAAAGACACAGTCCTGGTACAATTTTGATCCCCAAGCCAATGGTACAAAAATGTTCCTCAGAGTCTCATTTCTGTACCTTAAATTAGACTAAAAGGTACCTTTACCTACAGCTAGGGCATAACTGGCAGAATCTTGAGGGTACAACCCCAGTGAAAAGTAACCATACCCTCAAAAGGTAGTTTTTTTCTGAATGTATGATGTTCATTTTTTAAAAAGTGGCTTTGACTTTAACGATAATAAAAAAAATAAGGACAATAACAATACTAACATTTTTACAAAGCTTCCAGTTTGTTTTCTCATTTAGTACCTTAAGATTGGGGTCCTTCTAACACAGAGGTGGCCAGTCTTATCCGCCGGTGTGTGTGCAGGCTTTTGGGGTAACCTTTACATCAGCTGTTCAAACCCAGGTGTGAGGACTCTTCAGCCAATCAGTCCTCTAATTAGTAATATAATTAGGGCGTTGCAGTGGAAACCCACATACACACCGGCCCTTTGTAGATAAGATTGCCCACCCCTGTTCTAACAGATTGGGATTTATGCTTGTCATATTTTACCAGACAGTCCATATGGGGCAATCCCCATATATGACTTGTGAACAATAGTTGAAATAAATATTTTATAAAGACCCCTTGATTTAACAGTGCAGTGAATGTTAGACTTATGGTGCATTTGCAGTTCGTCCCATGGGCCAAACTAATTAACTCTAAACCAGTGTTTCCCAATCTGGTCCTCAGGGACCTGCAGACAGTCCATGTTTTTGCTCCTACCAGGAGCTGGGAGGGAGCAAAAATGTGGGCTGTCTGTCAGTCTCCGAGAACCAGATTGGGAAACACTGCTGTAAGGCAACAACAGTTCAGCACCCAGGACAGTGGCCTCTAGGTTCATGCACGGCAAGCAACATGATGTCTGTTAATGTCGATATCAAACTAATCTAATGGGAGGTTCAGCATATAAAACAGAAGAAAGGATTTTGATGTTCACGCTCTGTCACAGCACGGCATGGAGCTTGCAGCTCAGAGACCAACGAGGGCTTTTTGAACTGAACAAAGAACACTGGGAAAATGCACAAAGAAACAGGACGAAGGACCATGAGGGGTCAAAAGCAAATGGGGAAAACAAGAGATAACTACAAGGAACAAATGTGGGAAGCAGGTCGACACCAGGAACAGGACTAAGAGAACAGGCAGCATGACATTAGCAAAGCATAATGACTCACTAGAGAACGGAGCAGGGCAGGCACTAAAATACACTGAAAACTGGGGGAAACAAGGAACAGGTGTAAGACAATCAATTAACCAATCAACAAACACCAGCACAAGGAAACGGGCAACAGGTGGAACTAATAACAACTAATGGGCACAGAAACTAGGGAGCATTAGCTGGGAATTAAACACTAGGAATAAAACGCAAGGCAGGGGCAGAGAACCATAAACAAGACTACTTAAAAATAGGGATAAACAATATCAAACTAAACATAAACCAAAGCAGGGAAGCAAAAGTCTAAACACTAGGAAAAACAAAATACCAAATAAACATAACAGATGGTTTCAAACCAACAACTGAAGTTAACAGTCTCTGTGCCACACACTCAACCCACTGATCTCTGCAGCGGACGGGGAACAAGGAAAACACACTAGGGACTAGTACAATGACAGAGGGAACAGGATGGCCAGCAACACCTGCTGGTCAAACAGGGAATGAACACATAGGACAGGGATGGATGGGCACCGACCATGGGAAGCACATTTTTACAAAGAGCACAAAAAGAATAAAGAAATTGAAAGGACATTATATTAAACCATATCAAAGGCTATTGGAGAGAAACAACATAATGGCAGAAACATGGCTTAAATTCGAGTTTCTCATTTGCTTATAATCAGGATGTCACTATGTAACTCAATGGTGGGAATGCAGTCGTTTTAAAATGAGCTATATATTGCTACTGTTGTGATGGAATTCATGCAAATGCATGGGGATAAATTACAGAAGGGTCATGAACCCCCCAAATATAATCAAAACCAACTAATGTAACCCCCCCCCCCCCCCCAATAATCATGTCTCCCCGAAATGGGTGAAGACCTCAATGCTTTACATATTTGTAATATGTCTCTGTGGTGTCCTAACAAAGCTCTTCCTGTTCCCCTATGTAGCCATGTAAATAGTGGGCAGTGCACAGGCAGGCGGCTGGACACGCTGCTTCTGCAGCCGCATTTATACACGAGTCATGTAATATGAAATTACTTTTATACTGAGGATGAAGAGTTTTTGTTGCCCCTGTATTTTCTGTTGAGTTTTTGCCCACACTAATTCTTGAAAAATTCTCTTTGATTTTACTGCTGCCAAACTGCTTTTGGGCACCCATGTCCAGAAGGATGGCGTTACAAAAATACCATTGAACCAAATGATAATTTACCCCTAGTAGTAATTATTGTGTAAGTAATAGTGTTTAATCATTGCTGACACAGTCAGGTAATTCTGTAGTTTTTACGTCTAAACCTTCCAGGTCTGCAGCTAGATCTGCCTCTCTCCAGCCACTCCGACAGTCCCAGATGATCAACACCGGCTCTGCAGGTCCACTTGAGCTTTGAAACCCAGCGGCATGGTGCTTGACAGGGCAGAGGGCTCCAGCTGGTCGTCCCACTGTGAGCGTGGCTGGAATGTCAGCATGTGTCAACAATCTTACTACCTCTGCGATATTACTCATGGATAATACTGTGCACATGGAGGCCCATAATGACAGAGTCAGCATATTCCACAATAATTATATTATTGTGACACCCAGCAGACTCAGGCTTTAGAAGAAGTGAGGCAACATCTTCACACAAAAGGCAGTTTTATTGATAGCCCTTAAGAGGACTGGCACACAAGGCTAGACAGTAACAACAACCCAGCACCCTCTCCTCTCTACACAGGGAAACACAGGGAGGTCCCACAACACACAATAGGATGCACAAACAGTACACTAGTCAGTACGCTAACATTACACACACTAGTCACTACACATGACGCAACATGCGGGGAGCATGCGACACATAAAACATGGCACAGTCATTAACAGTGACACCGAACAGGGGCTATTTACAACACACACCCAGAATGCACTGGGAGCATGCAAATTACCTCAGGCAATTCGACAACACTACATTATATTTATGGTGACTACATGGAAAATGCTAGAGGTCTAATACACTTTGAAGTTTGTGTTACACATTTGCAGCATTGAAATCAGTCACCCATTGGCCATCATTCCTCTCGCTGGTAAGGAACAATGCAGCCCTGAGACTTTCACACAGATGCTCTTGACTGATAGTGAGGCTGCGGACAGTTGATAAGGCGCAGGCATTGCAAGGGAGCAGACGGGTCTCTGCTGCGCATTGCAGCCGTTGCACCACTCGTTGCTGGGCGGATTGGATCAGCAGTCCTCAGTTTCACAATGTGTTTCAGTCGTCTTCTTGATAGCTCTGCAGAAGGACGTCGCATCTAATGAAGGATATGCTGTATTTGTTTTGTGTAAGAGACCTTACAGTATCTTTTTTAGCCATTTTTATGACTTGAAGAGCCCCAAAATATTTGTTTCAACGGAAGCACCAAGTCGGAGATGCCATGACTGGTGTGATGACTGGTCGAGTGGAACATGAAGAGGTACTTTTCTCATCCCTTTGATTACATTTCTGAACTTAGTTGGCCTCAGTTTCCTTTTCACGCCTCATCTGTGTCATTTGTGCCCTTGAATCATTGCATGATGGTCGTGACCCCATATCATTTGCATGAAGAGTTGACTCAAAGCTTCCCATTTGAATACTACACAAATTTCGAAGAGCATTCCAGCCTAGATCCAATTTACTACAAATCTGAGCTCTTTACAATACAGGCCTGAGAATATCCTGGAATATTTAAATAAAAAATAAAACATGTTTCTTGAGTCTGTAAATTAGATGTTTGATGAGTCAAATGTCTTCACAGATGTGTTTCATTCGTATTGTGTGTGTTTGTGCATTGACCCAAATACTCATGTATGATTAAACTAAACAGCCTGAGAATAATATGTCAAATTATTTTTCTTCCATATTTCTTCAGATGCAGAAGTGCCCAGTTGCGCCCCTCCCCAGTAAATTTGCAGCATTGCTCTTTATATGGGGGTGGGATGTAAGGGATGTCCCATTCGCCACTGCACTAATTTGCAATGCATAACTCACCAGACAGCCTCCTCCTCAGTCATTTCTGGAGAGTTTATCAGGTACTGTGCTGCACGCCAGCCTCCTGCGCGGCGCCGACGCTCACAACACTGCAGTCGAATTAGATGATGTAGGGATTTCACATCCGCCGGCGTCAGACATACCGAGACAAGACGACGGTTTGGTTGACAAGGGGGAGAGAATAGGCGTGTGATCGAGCACGTGTGGAGGCAGAGATGGAGAAGAAGCCTCGTGGTCTGGAACCTCCAGATGTTAAAGACTACCTCATAAAAGGGGACAGGTTCATCAAATGGACAGAAGTAAGTTCACAGAAAACCGGCCATCTGTTAGCTAATCCATCTCTATCTCTCTTAATTTCACTGCACCAGCCAAAAGCCCTGATTTTTCAGTATTTAGTGCATAACCCAGGCTGGTATGCTAAACACACAGTCTGTAAAAAATTATATATGGTACATTGAGCCACTTTGCTTAATGTTTCACTGCAAACTACTGTAACTCAAGACTGACAAGACATTATCTAATCATCAGTCTTGTTTTACAGGGTGTCTTTCTGCTGCTAAACCAGAATTTGCTTGTGGGTTGTATAGATCACACGAAATAGTGCTTCTCATCATAGAGTTTACCATCACAAGAGGTTTAGGCTGACCACAGAGACTTCTGGGAGTTTAGATTGGGGAAGTCATTTTTCAAGCTGTCGCATTCAAGCAATTATGCTAGAAAGAACTGTTTGCAGAATAGAATCCATCATAGTTTCTAATCCTTCAGAGCAAAAGCTTTTTTTGCCTGTTTTTTCAAAACTCATCTGCTTCCTAGCTGAAAATTCTTTTAAGGACCACAGTATGTGGAAATCAAAAAGTGAATCATAAAAGCAATTCTCTACAGAATTTGGCAAATGAATGAAATATTTTATTTAAACAGAATATATTTCAGGTCACGTAAAAAAATGGAATGTTTATCCATATAAAAAGCAGTTGTCATGGCAATGGCCTGCGAATGTAGTTTTAATAGCAGAATTTGAGTTCAGATTTTATTTATTCCTTTAATAAATGTTGTTGCAGCAGAGGTTTGCGCCCAGAAAAAAGCCGTTGTACAGGGGCCATTGCATATACCGATAACAGAATTGTTTCACAACATCTGCTTGAAGGAGAGTGCTCTTCAGGCTTAGAGGAAGCCTGTTCATTTCCATGCATTTCCGTCACAGTGAGCAGTGGCCCACAAAACAATCTGCATGGCCGTCTTTATTCACAAACGGATGCTAACTTGCTGACTCCCTGAAGTGTTCAGCACACTGCATTCTTGATCTCCAATCACTATTATTATGATGATACCAGCCTTTGTTTGAGCAGATATCTGTGCCAGCAGGAAGCCCAGCTTAACCACATGTATCTGGCGGCCTGGCGTCCCTCTATTTGGACACATGACTCCACATTGCTTTCGGTGGTACAGTAGTGGTGTCCTTCAGCAGGAGCGAAAAAGCTTTGCTTTGTTCCTGTGGCAATTCCTGGCCACTCTGTGGCTAAAGTCTAGTGAAGCTGTAACCTACCTGTGGAGGTGATGCATACGCTTCATGTCGTGTGTTACAGGAGTCAAACCGAACTTCACCTGTCACCATGAAAATGGACCCGAAAGGTTACTACCTCTACTGGACCAATCAGAACCGGGTGAGAGGTCTCAGATACCTTTGGATTCACCTAGTGCCGTGCACACTATGGCTAATAACACAATCCAGATGGCTTAGAAAGCATTTAATGGTGTTTATCATTGAGTGCTAACAGGTATTTGCATGTTTTTTGGGTGTTTGAGGTTTTGGGTCGTCTTGCTGGGTGATTGCATGGTTTACTACATGAAACGCACAAAACAAGTTCGCTAATATAAGGTGTATCGAATATATATACAGATATCCTGGACAGACATACATAAACATACATAACATACATAAATAATAAATATAGTCCTGTTATTTTACACTGTAGTGATGTAAGACCCGCAGGATCTCAGCCAAGTGTTTTCATAATAAGAAAAACCACAACATCTGTGCAAAAATATTGTTATTCTGTATGCAAATGTGCTGAATAATGTTGCCTCCAGGTTCAATTTGGTCGTCGGTCCTTGGCGAATTGCTTGTGACTGACAGTCGCTGGATGGCTTCATTTGCCGTCACATGACGGGTGCCCAGTGTAGATGCGGCCGCCTGTTTGCAGTCACTGCTTCATTCTTGGCATTGTGGTAAATATAAGTCTGTTATTAAATACAGGAGACAGTGTTCCTGGATGTTGCCACCATCCGAGACACAAGATATGGGAAATATGCCAAAATGCCAAAGGTATGTGCACTCCTTCGGCGCTGCAGCCCCCAGGTAGATCGATAACTGAGTGCCTCTCTCTGCATCCACGTGTTGGTATATAACTGAACTGACATTTGTGGGTGAGAGAGAAAGACAGAGGAAGAATGAGCCATTATTATCTGTTGTGCGCTTTCTGCCTGTCCTTTCCTGTGTGTGTGTGTGTGTGTGTGTGGAAATAACCTTTCTGTCTCTTTGGAATCATGTATGAATTATAGATCACCTCCTTGGAGGTGAGGCCAGACAGCCTTAGGTTTGAGTCCCAGGTTGACAGAGATGTATTATTCCCTTGTGGTGGGGGGAGACGAATTCCAGTCATCTTGTTCTGAGGTATAACTCCGTCTCTCGCAACGGGCTTCCTGTCATTACTGTTTTTAAGTCTGGCATGATGAGGGAGCACATCAGTGCCGCTTCACGCTCCCCCCGTGAACTGCCATCGCACTGGGGCACCTGTCATATGATGTCAGCTGAGGATGTGGCCATTTAACTCAGGCTGTCGCCTTGTGGGGTCGTCCCTGCGGTCCCCGCAGAGGATTTGCATCGCAAACGTCGGATCTGATGTCAGCTCACTTTGCCGGGCTCGTCTTGGCACCAGAGTACAGAGCCTGTGGTTGTGCAGCCTACGCACAAGTGAGCACGTGCAGAGAGAGATGCTTTCAGAAAAAAACCTTGGAGCCTTGAAGCACATAATCGGTTGATGACCATTTTGGTCAGATCCTGCCAGCGGACACAGCATCCGTTACCGCGGTGTTTTTAAAGTCCTTCCTTGGGGACTCCCCAGGCGGGACCATGTTTTTGCTCCCTCCAAGCTCCCAGGGAACTGGGAGGCAGCAAAAATGTGTACCGTCCGGGGGTCGGTGCGTTGTGCATTACAGGGCTTCCATGCGTTGGTTTTTGTGCACCCCCCGGTAGCATCAGCGGCAGAAGAAAAAAAAAATTCTACATATTATTCTATCTAGTTGGACTTTGCATATAATGGAGCTGAGCTGCTAATTAATTTCGCAAAGATTGCACTGCTGATTCATCCAAACGCGATCCCAGTGCCAGTCTCTGTCATACAACCTGGTTGTATGGAATTTTGCCAGTGCTTTGCCTTTCCCTGGCAGAATTGCCACTCTGGACGTCTCCACGGCTCAGCCATTGTGAAGTTCCCACATTGCACTCCGAATTTGCAGACGACTGTTCTCTAGAGGCCATTGAGGCATGTGAATATTGACTGGGAGCCAATACATTCCTAGCGTGTTTTGTGTGTTTTTTTTTAGCTTAAATGTTTAAGCCTAAATGTCTCTGATGCTGGGAAGACAATTCACCCATTGTGACAGTAATAGAAATAATTGGAAGTTCCCTTCCTGCTATTTTCACCCCTGCTCTGGAGGCATCGGAGCCAACGTTTCCTGGCAAACGGTGGAGTCCCAGCTGGCTCTGTGTGACCCGGAGACTTCGCTCGCCATGACTGGGCACTGCAGCCTGCAGACGCAGCAGACCCGCCGTGTGAAGGCCCAGTCAAGCCAAAGAGGCCCCAGAGTGGGCAGTGTTTCCCAGAGCCTGGAACTGCAGACCTGCAGAGCGGACCAGCCATTGCTGTGAAACATGCTTTAGAATCTGTAGTGAGACACTTATGTTCAGTGTTTTGTGAAAGATCTATGAAAACAGCAAGAAAACAAAGGCAGTTTGGGGATTATCCATCCATATTCGATCTACTAATCCTGAGCACGGTCATGGGGAGGCTTGGAGCTTATTCAAGGCAGCATGGTGCAAAAGGCAGAACCACCCTGGTGGAATTACAGTAATTTGGGGACTAATTAATTACAAATATGACTAATAAATGCGGGTCTTATCCAAATGATAGATGTGGAACATTGAGTTGTTAGAACATGGGACAGCCAAAGGGTGCTCAGAGGGTCCGGCTATCCTTATGTTTGCATGTCACGTCACAGTGCTGGCCTCAGTCTCATGTCATGGCTTTAGCTGTAGCCGAGTGTTTAATTCTTCTCTCGCTGACCGTTTGCCTCGCCAGCGGAAAGTTCCAGCGCTTTCTCAGTCATGTCCTTGCTTTGCATTCAGCTTGTCATTTGCCTGTTTGGATTAAGCTTCTCCTTTCACAGGTGTTGGTATGAAAACCTTGTATACAGGATGGTGCCTGGTAACTCAATCTGTCAGGAAGTCGTTGGGGGAGGCTGATGATTTTGGTTGAACTACTTCCCATGCAAATCAGCCTTGACTGTGGTTAGCTGCAGCTAGGTTACAGTGCACTCCGCACACATAGTCTAGGCTCAGCACAAGACTTTATTATGATCTATTTTAAGGATTTTTTATCTCGTGTTTACTTCGGATTTATTCTGTTCTTTTAGGCTTGATTCGCTTCAGAGTGTTGGTAACAGTGTTGACGTGACTGCCAGACACCCGTGCTTAAAGAAGCAACGTTCATTGTGATGCCGTGCAATAACTGTGATTCTTCTGTGCCATTCACACCTGCAGCAGCCCAAGGTCCGCAATGTCTTCAACATGGACTTCCCAGACAGTCACCACTTAGCCAAAATGCTGACCATTGTATCCGGCATGGACATGGTGAACCTGACCTACCATAACTTCTTTGCCCACAAGGAGAAAGTAGTGGAGGTGAGGTTATGGGGATGATTCAGGAACAGTGATGAGCATCGTGTGAGGGGTTGTGATCTGGAGTGATGTCCTGAAAAGGGCGGGCAGGCTACCCAAGTCGTGCATCTCCCCTTCCTCCTTCAGACATTAAACACGAGGTTTGAATTCAGCAGATAGTTTAGCACTGGACAACAAAACCATCACAGCACTTTTAGCATTTCGAGGTTAATCTGGCAGGAATTCGAAGAAGACCAGCTGTCTGACGCTTCAGTGTTTTTTGTGATATATTTATGACACCTTATCAATGTCCATTCTGGATATAACTGGCTGTGATTAAATGCGTTTGGTACAATGTAATAATGGATCACTTCCCTAGAGCAGAAGCTATTTTGATTCTCGATAGTGCTAGCAAGAAGCCTTGCAGTTTAATTTTACAGTTAGCTCTTTTCACTTGCCTGTTACAGTGTTGAACGTGTACAGGCTGTTAGTTCCATGCATTGCAAGTTTGGTCTCATCATAAAACAGTATGATAAATATTTGGCTACAGCACTGGGCGGAAGACATCCTGGCCATTGCTTACAACACGCTGAGGAACAACGCTTGCAAACATGTCTTCCTGGAAAAAGTGTGAGTGAACGGTTTGATAAATGATCCCGCTCTTACCACTATCCAAGTTTGCACACAGTCCCCAAGAAATGCAGCGCTAGGCAATTATGGGCTGTTGATGCAGCTCAAACAATACACAAGTGGTAATGTGAGCTCCCCACAGGAGTGAACAGTGCTGGGGGCTTTCAGAGATGTTTGCTTCAGAAGTGTTACTGATGAGCATAGTGATGCTCCCTCTCACAGATGTCTGTAACCCCCCTCCCACCCACCCACCCACCCATCTCCATCTGGGCTTTCTGCAGGTTCATCCGCATCTCTTTGCAGACCAACAAAGATGGAAAAATCCCTGTGAAAAAGTGAGCCTTCGTCTCGACACTTTTCTTGAAAAGCCAAATATACTCCAGCTACATGTGAAACATGTGGATCTCACTCCTGGCCCATGCACCTGGTGCTGTCTCTGTCTCCTAGCATCTATAAGATGTTCCCTGCGGACAAGAAGAGGGTGGAGAGTGCACTGGCCGCAGCCAATCTGCCAAAAGGAAAGGTGACGCTTATTCCTTCGCCTCTCAGCGGTGCACCGCCCAGCCTCAGTCTCCCTGCTGGTCATGCAGCCTTCATGTCATACATTTCCTCCTCCTGCACAGGGGGACACCATGAAGCCAGACGTCTTCACCGAATCTGCCTTTAAAGTCTTCCTGACGCAGCTGTGCCCCAGGCCAGAAATATATGAAATCTTCACAACCTAGTTAGTCTCTTTGGACACAATCCGGTTCCCTTGTTGAATCCTCAGTATATCTATGGCATTTATTAGGGGTCCAAGAATGTTGTGGTGTGCTAGGATTTTTCTTTTATTATTATTATTTTGCACTAAAATGATAAGGGGAGCAGAAAATGTCAGGTGTAGAAGCACCAAATTTGGTGAAGTGGAGCAGAATTCCCAGCTCTTCTCAGGCAAGCAAAATCATAGCAATTCTCCTAATGATGGTGCTTTAGCACGATGTTTTATGTTCTGGGCTATATCTCCGGAATCGTGAGTCATAGAAGCAAAATTCTTTTTTTCCTCCAGACATTGTGACCATGCAGATAATCCGTAGGATTTTGATCAGGCAAATCATTACAATGCTACAGACAAAGAAATTTCTTGCAATTAATGACTGATTTCACAGCATGTCCTCTTTGGTGTACAACAGGAATAAATATGTTTCCTTACATCAGTGAAAAGATAGATGCAAAAAGAACATGTCCACTACAATGGAAAACACTTTTCTTTAGTGTTTTGTATAGCTTTATGTGCATATAAATGGCCTGCAAAGTCCACAGAAACCACTCTTCTCTAATCTGCCTGAAACGCCTTGTTGGAATTCCAGCCCTTACTTCTGTGACACGGTGGGGTCACTTCATAACACAATCCTTATTGGTCGCTTACCTGCAAGGATCTGTCTGCTGACTGTAAGATGGGATTGAATGTGCAGAGCAAACTGATTAATCGGGCAAGCTATCCAATCAGAAACCACTGGGCTCATAGGGGGTGGGGCTTATAGCTCTAACAGAACGTTTCAGACAGAGTTATAAACATAGTGAATAGAGGTGCACAGTATGAGAAAAAGTGTTTCTGGAACATTGAAGCATATAAGTCTATTCTAGTACATCTCAAAAATAAAGTTATGAAAAGTGAAAATTAGCATAATAGGACCCCTTTAAGTAATTTCTTATGAAAAAATACTTCTTGCTACCCATCTTTCAGTAGGTGAAGGGCTGCCCCTCTGTTATTGTTGAGTATTTAGTTGTGTGAGCAGAGATCAAAGAAGTTGATGACCTGGTAACTTCCTGTCGCCTCTGGGCAGCTCTACCAAGCCGTATATGACAAAGGAGAACCTGCTTAAATTCCTCAACGAGAAGCAGCGCGACTCACGGCTCAATGAGGAGCTGTTCCCGCCTCTGCGACTGGAGCAGGTGAAGATGATTATTGACAAGTATGAACCCTGCTCCTCCACTGCCAACCGAGGTGAGAGCCCCCCCCCCTTTACACTTGCAGGTTGAGCATTCAGACTTTGATTACTGCTTCATTTACTTTGTGTGTGTTGTGTTTGTGTTGCAAAATCCAGGCAACATCTCCCCTGAAGGGCTCCTCTACTACCTGACAGGGCCCGATCTCTCTGTTGTGGCACTCGACAAGCTCGCCAGGTACCAGGACATGATGCAGCCAGTGCCTCACTACTTTGTCAAGTCATCTCACAACACCTACCTCACAGGTGAGTGGAACCATACCTACCTGTGAGTTCAAATGCATGGTAAAAAGCCAGTGGTGACAATGCGATGGGCGTTTGTAGTATTCGGGTTGCGTATCTCAGCAAGTCCTTCATGTTCTGGAACATCTGGAGGTTGACTGAAACCTTATCTCTGGTCATCTCGACAGCGGGCCAGTTTTCCGGCGTGTCGTCCCCGGAGATGTACCGCCAGTGTCTTCTGGCTGGATGCCGTTGCTTGGAACTGGACTGCTGGAAGGGCAAGCCTCCAGATGAGGATCCAATCATCACTCACGGTTTCACCATGACCACTGAAATCCTGTTCAAGGTGCTTGATACCTCCCATCTCTGGGAATGGGGCTGATGAAAGTTTAGGGACAAGCTAGGCTTTGGGGAAGAGCTACAGTAGCAATGGATCTGATGGTCATAATGTGTTTCCTATGGCGATCGTCATTATTGTGTGACAGGCTGTTATTAACCTCAAAGTCCACGACTATCTCATTACTTTGACCAATCCTTCCATTAACAGCGCTCATAAATGCTGCCGCAGATGTTCCTTTTAAGGCCGTAATGCAGCATTAGACACAATAAGCAAGCCAATATTCTCTGGCTTAGCAAAACCACCAAACCACAAACAAACAGACCAAACCTTGCTGCATGGATACCACCCCACACTTAAAGATCAGAGGAGAGCTTAATGGATACTAATGCAATAAAGTAATGCAACCTTTCCCCTGAGCCTCTGGCACATCTCAGGGAGGATGGGGGCAATGAGCTCTGCTTTGTGTCGCAGCCTGACTGGTATTCCTCTGCCTCGGCCGAGACATGTCAGTCTGCCCCTCATCCTGTCCCTGCCCCTGCCCATGTCAATAGGCCTGCACATCCAAGGGTGACGGGCACCCACGTCACCAGCCCTCATGGTACCAAGCAGATTAGCCCGGCTACCTAATGCGTCAGTATTTCCACAATAGGAAAGGGTAGAATTTGTATTGCGACCAGAGGTGGACATTTCAGGTCCAGAAAGTAAAAATCCAAACCAGGATTTTGTTTCAACCAACCAGTTGAGCATAAAGAGTAACAGACACAGAGTACTCAACTGGTTGGTTGGAACAAAATCTTGGTCTGGATTTTTACTTTCTGGACCTGAAATGTCCGCCTCTGATTGCGACGCACTGGGATTTTGTCTAAGACACACCATGTTTTGCATCCAAAGTTTCTCGGCATCGGTTCGGAGATAATGATGACCCTAAATTGCAGTTCTGGGAAATGAGTGAATAATCAAATCCCTTTCTGTGACACAGGATGTGATTGAGGCCATTCACGAGAGTGCTTTCAAGACTTCCCAGTACCCGGTCATCTTGTCCTTTGAGAACCACGTTGACTCGTAAGACAACCTCGTCTGCCTCGCTTCCTTTGCGCCACTCGTGTTTTACCGTAAAGAGAGAACTTATGCTAGCATGTGTATTCCCAAGCTCTTCCATTAATTGATATTTGTGTCCTCTTCAGGTGTGACTGTTTATTTAAAGGAAGATTTGCCTTAATATTGACATCTGAGGGCGACACTTTGAATGATTATTCTAAATGATTTTATGAATATTTTTAGGGTCAAGCAGCAGGACAAGATGGCAAACTATTTGAGGACCATATTTGGCGATTCTCTCCTTGTTGACCCCCTGGAAAAGTATCCTGTGAGTAAAACGGCGGATCTGCTTCCTGTCTGAATCATATGACCCCCGCAGGATCCCTGCACTTCCTCAGTTGCCTATTATTTCAATGTCTGTCGCAGAGGTGAGTCTTTCATCTTTTCCCATCAACGTTCTACGCCTGACATTGCAGCTATTTTGGAGGTGGCAACAGCAAGTCATCTGTCACAAAAAAAAAATGTTTTGGCCTCCCTCGGCTGCAGGCTTGCAAACTTAATTTAGCTTTGAGGTTACTGCACTGTGGCACTTGTTTTTAAGCATTTCATGCTATCAGAAAGGTCATTTGCACTGAGTCATTTACACCTTAAAGATCCCTCCTATTAATGCTGCCAAACGGCCCTGGGCATTCACATTCCTTGGCTCGTGTATTTTGTCAAACACACACCCCCCACCCTCCTCTTTCCGCCTCAATAACCTTCACTCCTTCTGTGTATTTCTGTACAATATAATTGTTCCTACCTTCTCTGAGATGAAACAATGTTCTAGGCTTTTCCTCATCTTTTTGTCTGCTTGTCTGCCTGCATTTTTAATGCTCATTTGCTCCTTCTTTTTTGCATGTTCATTCATCGACTTTGCCATTTCTTCAAATGTCCATCCGCTATCTGTGATGCTCTGCTTCCTGTCGGCTTGTGGATCTGCCCGCCGATGTTCCCATCCTCTCTGTCTCACCAGCTTGAGCCAGGCCACCAGATTCCAAGCCCGGCTGAGCTGATGGGGAAGATCCTGATCAAGAACAAGAAGAACAATAACGACAAACAGAGCCAGGGGGCTGCCAAGAAGACCACAGGGCCGGAGCAGCACCATGGCACGTCTGGTGTGGAAAGCCAAGGTGTGTTCACCACTCCCATCTGTGAGGAAAGCCTCGTCACCTGTGGAGTGCCAACATTTCCTCATGATGAATTGATTCCAGGTCCTAACGCCCTATTTTCTCACCCAGAGCATATTTATGGTTGCATCTCGAAAAGGGCGACCAGCTCTAGTCAGGCATATGTTTTCACATCCTGTAGTGATGGGGGATTTGGATCCCTTCCCCTATCGATTGTTACACAGCCATTCTGTGCATTAAAGCAGAGGCTCTTGTATTCTGGCATTTACGTGACATACATATCTGAAGAAACCACCTGAATACTGAGGCAAAAGTGCAAGCAACAATTTCCAGAATAGTTCAAGAGGTTTTTAAATTATAGGGATTCTTAAATTTATGAAGGGCCGTGTAAAAGCTGAAGAGCTGTGTATGTACCAGAGGCGGACATTTCAGGTCCAGAAAGTAAAAATCCAGACCAAGATTTTGTTCCAACCAACCAGTTGAGTACTCTGTGTCTGTTACTCTTAATGCTCAACTGGTTGGTTGAAACAAAATCCTGATTTGGATTTTTACTTTCTGGACCTGAAATGTCCACCTCTGGTATGTACGAAATGCACGTATACCTATGCAACCTTAAAACTTGACACGTGATTCCAGACGGCGAGGTGCTTGACGACCATGAGGAGCATGATGACCATGATGAGCAAGACGAAGAGAAAATGAAGAACTCTGATGAGGTAGAGGGTAGTGCATTATCCCACATGCCCATATGATCATTCTCAGGGTCAATAGGCTTCTCACTCAGCTCCTATAACTCTCCAATCAGGGCACGGCAGGACAGGAAGTGACAGCGTATGAAGCCATGTCCTCCCTGGTCAACTATATACAGCCTAATAAATTCATCTCCTTCGAGAATGCCAGAAGTAAGACATTTAGGTGTGGGGTAAATGCATTGTGTTTGGGGTGAAATCAGGAGTTAGGTGATCTTTGTGTTGTGGTTTTATGTCGCTGGGTGTGTGACAAAGACAGAGGGTCCTCACACTCGTGACAGCTAAAGTGACCATGATTTTTGCTTTTCCTTTGACCAGAGAAAAACAGGAGTTATGCAATATCTTCCTTTGTGGAGACCAAAGGCAGTGATCTGATCTCCAAGTCGGCTGTGGAGTTTGTTGAGTATCCTTCCTTGGTGATGAGTGATGCACAGAGTCGGCCTAAGGACAGGACATCATTGCTGTTATTGTTGTGTTTTCTTCAGCAGCATGGGGTAGTGTTGTTTTCTGACACATCCGGTTTTGGGCGTTTGAATCCCACCCATGCTCCGTGTGTGTGGAGTTCGCACATTCTGGCATACCTGGCGTTTCTGAATCCCCCTGTAGTTTATGTAGCTCATGTGAGTTTTAGTTACACAAAAATTGTTCTGAGGGAAGAATGAAAAAGATTGGGTTAGATTGACGACCAATCAGATGGTAGAGGAGGTGGGTCCAAGCAACTAGACTAGGCAGGGCCAACCAATCAGATGTCTTGGTCCCGCCTCCTCCACTTACTTGGACCCACCTCATTTACAATCTGATTGGTTATCTCTCTGAACCAAAATTTTTTTTCTTCTGCCCTCAGAACATTTTTGTGTAACTAAAACTCCCACAAGGGTTCATGTGCCCCGTGACTGACAGACATCCTATTTAGAATATGCACCCCATACCTGTCCAGGATTATCCTACTTATTTACTGAAGCTTATTGAGTCAAGTGAATCTTTCAAGGATACAGCAACGGACCTCTCCTGGGAAGTCCTCCTTTACCTGTGATGCAACCTTTAAATACAATGGTCCCAGGCAAAGTTCATTCTTGGCAGTGCCTGTATGTTCTGGAGACACGGGTTCCTATACAGGCCTGTTCAGATATAACAAGAGACAGATGAGCAGAGTTTATCCCAAGGGCACCAGAATGGATTCCTCTAACTACAACCCTCAGCCTTTCTGGAACGCTGGGTGCCAAATGGTAGCACTCAACTACCAAACTATGGGTAAAATGTTTCAATTTGATAGCCTGGTAATAATGAATGTTCGTTTTTAATGTTTTGTACCAAGTGAATAGCAATTGCTTTTGGCTCTGCCAACTGAAGAAATGAATAAAATCGATCCAGAATTGTACACTTGCAGTCTTTTAAAATCACCACTAGAGACCACTGTTGTGCAAGTAATAAAAACGCCAAAGGCGAAGGCCCATAGAGCTACAAAGAGACTAATATTACAGAAGGTGAACGTGTTTTTTTTTCTCTTTTACCAATCACGTTTGTGCTTTGCAGATTTTCCAATGCAGCTGAATATGGCCCTGTTTGAGTTCAATGGGAGGACAGGTTACCTTCTTAAGCATGACTTTCTGCGCGGAAGTGACAAGACATTCGATCCTCACACGGACCGGCTTGATACTATCGTGGCCAGCACTCTGACAGTCAAGGTATCAGCAACGGTGCACTTGTAATAACAGCAATAGACTCCTCATACTTATTCTCTGCCCTTTAGAGCTGTGGCACGGAAAAGGAATACAGCCCAATGAAGGCATGTATGTGCACATGCTTACGATGAGTCAACACTAGAAATGCCGTGTGGCAAGTTATATGCATCAGTGAACAACGTCATGCTATGAGCTGTCGCTATGTCCCGCTAAGGCACCATGGGGGGCTCTGGGGTTTGGCAGTCATGGGGCTATGTTGGTGGGGAGATGTTTGTAAAGTCTTCTTCATACTCTCCTGAAATTAATAGATCACTCAGCTCTGAATTCCAGCGATTGTGCTGGCGTGTTTGCAACGCCAGACTGTGCTTGCCATGGAATTTCTGCCCTTGTTTATCATCCAGGTCTATTCTGGCCAGTTCCTATCGGACAAAAATGTGAAAACAGGGGTAGAGGCAGAGATCGTAGGGCTGCCCAATGACCCCAAGCGCAAATTCCGGACCAAATGGTCAACCACTGCCAATGCTATTAATCCGGTGTGGAATGAGGAACCCTTTGTCTTTGAGAAGGTGAGCTGACAATCCTATTTTTGTTCATGGACAGCTGCTGGATGTCCAGATTAGCCCATCAAAAAAATCCTGGCTAATAAAAAGCACTTTTTAAAGCAGCAAATGTGTCCCGCCAGATCCTGTTGCCAGAGATGGCTTCTCTTAGGCTTGTGGTGCATGACGAGAGCGGGAAATTCCTCGGGCACAGAATAATCCCTATTTATGCCATACAGTCAGGTAAGTATTTACAGTATAATACCAGCGTTTTGTAAAATGGCTGTACCGTATTATCAGCTGTGTTACCGGCTTTGCTCTGCCTTGCCGACGTTTCGGGATTTTGATTCTCTAGGCTACCAGCACATCTGCCTCCGCAGTGAGAGCAACGTGCCCCTCACCCTGCCGTCCCTGTTCGTGTACATCGAGGTGAAGGACTACATTCCTGCTGCTTTTGCGGGTAACCTGCTTCACGTTGTTTTCTCTCATCAACCGACAGAGTTGCAGTCAAGGTCACTGAAAATCCAAATCACCACAAAATCACTGTGTGGCCTAAAAGTTCACAATCGATAGGCACAAGGTCATTGTCACTGATGTTTGTTTTTGTGTATTTAACCTGAATTTTATCCAGCTGTGTGCAACATCAGTAGATTAAAGGTAGTTTAACAATAACAGCCTTTATACACATTTAAATGGAAAATTGCAAATGTTTTGTTGGTGAAAGTTTGAAATGTGACCATTTAGGGTGTCGATGATCAAATGCACTGGCTTGTTCCAGGCGAGATGTGGAATGGAACCATGTCGCAAGATTTTGGGAGAAAAGGAATGACGGCTTCTTTTGGGGGTGGGAGTGGAGGTGGATTTAACAAATCCAGAGTGGGGAAATCAAAGTAAAACACAGCCATTTATAACCACAAAAGGAAACATACATAAAAACAGAGCAAAACAGAGCTAGATACTATTATTAACAGTTTCAGAGGGTCTTTGAATTGAAGGTTTTGGGAACATAAAATACAACAGATTTGGAGCTACAAAGTGATGTTTTTTGTTGTATTCGAATTATTTACTTGTGTTCCAGATTTCAGCGACGCCTTATTCAACCCGACAAAATCCTCCGACAAGCCGACCAAGTCTTCTGAGGTAAGCCAATCACAAACAGTGAGCATTTTCTGTGGGTTGTTGGTAGCTGACGAGAAATAAATTGAGGTTGCGGTTTTTTCTCCAGTATACTAGCCCCTATGAGTTGCCCTTTCAGCCACTTCCTGGGGCAACAGAAGAGAAGGTGGAGCTCCCCGGTGCACAGACGGACGCAGGTAAGGTGACTGCTTTCCTGAGGTTGCGAAGTGTCCAAGTACAGAATGATGGGCAACTGAACAGTACAGAAAGTCACACAGTAACGTCCCACTCAAAATGTCACCTTATTTGAATGCAGGGGCAGAGACTGAAACATCTACCCCTCCCCCAGAGGGCACTAGCCTTCAAAATGGGGTTGACACTTCTGACACATCAGAAGACAACATCCAAGATCCTGGCTCTTGTACTACGCCAAAAGAGGGTTGTGTTTCATCTGTGGAACCTACCCCAGCTGGAAGCGATGCAACTGAATCTGCACCCGCAGATGAACCTGAAGAAAGCCTCCTTGTCACAGCAGACTCCTCCCCAGATGCAGAAGCTCCACCCACCACAACTCAAATCCCAGATTCTGACCCCACTCCAGAAGCAGAAGCTCCACCCACCACAACTCAAATCCCAGATTCTGACTCCACCCCAGAAGCAGAAGCTCCACCCACCACAACTCAAATCCCAGATTCTGACCCCAACCCAGAAGTAGAAGCTCTTGCTGCTGATGTTGCCCCAAATCTTGATGTTGACTCTAGCCAGGATGTCTGCCCCAACCAAGACAGCTCCCCCACAGATGAGCCCTCAGTTCCAGATATTACCCAGGAGTCTGCTGTGGCCTGTACTGACATAATGGACCTTTGCATATCAACCGAAGCTGCACCTTCGGTAGATTCTGAAGCAAACCCTTCCTCTGACTCCTCATCTGATGCCTCAATCCCAAATAAAGAGAAGCCTCCTTCAACAGACTCAGTTTCAGGTGAGGCACACAATCCACAAATCCTTTCCTATCTCCTAATTTCTCCTAACCTGCCTGAATTTGCCGTGACTAATATGGAATATGCTATCTCAGTGCACTATTGGTTGGTGTAATCAGAATAGACACAGATTTTTTTTTTTTCTGGTTAACGCAGATCTCTCTAAATACTGCTTTGAGCAGACTTTTCCCGTATTCAGAACTGCTGCGCACAGATGTTCATTCTGTCTACATTTCCCCCCACAGAGCTCTCATCTGTGAGCATAGAGGAGCTGACACAACACAAGAGCTTCGTCAAGGTAACCAAGAGACAGGAGAAAGAGATAAAGGAGCTGGAGAAGAAGAACCAGAAGAAAGGAGAAGAACTGATTCAGAAATACAGAGACATGTTCAAGTCCATCAGGAAGAAGAACTCAGTGAAGAAGAAAGAGTAATGGCTTCCCTTTTAAAGTTCCCGTTTAATCTCTGGAGTGACTTCTTAAATAGATGATTTAATTAATGTAGTCTCATTTTCCTAATGCGCAATTTCGATCAATGTCCACTAGGTGGAACTAGATTATTGAAATTTGGACTTTTTCCACTAGAGTGTGTTGCTCCTGTTGCTGCTCCTATTTTATTCACTTTCATTAATTCAGAATCAGAGGAGGATGAGTTCCAGAATACATTCAAATCTGCTGTTTATGGAAGGAGAGAAAGGGATACATTTAAACGTGGGCATCACTCTACAAATATGCGAGATGCTCGGTACACTTGGAAAAGCTAAAAGACATATAAGTAGATATGAACATGAGTTTCTAGCAAGAGACTTACAGCAAATGTATAAAAATCCACACCCTTCTGCCATGTCCGCAGCCTGCTCTACGTATGACCTTTCTTGCAGGGCTGACATGGTTGACCTGGGTGACAAGGTGACAGAGCTGAAGGTGAAGCTGCATGCAGACCTCAAAGGCTTGCGTGAAGATCAGTATGAGCTTGTGAAGAAGAAGAAGGAGCAGCACACTACTGAGGTATGGAACTTCTCTCGAGAGCTGAGCCCCGACCTTCTCAGCATGGGTCAGTTGGGGCGTTATATCATACAGAAGAACAACAAATCACTCAGGAATTTTATGATTCTCCACAGAACTATGTAATGTGGCCAAGGCACAAAGCAGAACATTAGTGACATTTAGTTTATCACCTGTACATGTGAGCCTTGTGTCATCAGAATATGATGCAAACACAAAACCATTAAATGAGTCACGCAGATATTTCCAACATTCCTAGTCGTTTCCAGGAATTATTAGGGAATCCATAGGTGGAACTTCCCGGTTGCATGTGTTTGTTGGCCCAGATGTAGCTCAGCTGTTCATCAGAAATGGGTCATATATCACCATGTCAGCTCCACAGTGACTGTCAGCGTGATCACATTCATTTCTAGTCTGTCTCCATTAAGCTTGAGACATCCATCTTTAGCAGATTTGATTTCTGATTCTGCTGTGTTCCACAGTAGCAGACAAGCCAGAACAACAGCTACACAGGTCATTTTTTCCCATCACCCTGGAATGTTCACGTGACGCCCCACGCACCCTGAGATGTCACTTTCAGCTTCCAGGCACACGTCTTGGCATGAAAGTGACCGCGACGTTTCTCATTTTCTTCATCCCGTGTCACAGCAATTAGCGAAGCTGCTGGAGATCGCCAAGGAGAGGCACACGAGCGAAGCCAAGGTCTTACGAGAGTGTCGAGAGAGGTGGGCCAACTACTCCTGGCACAGAGATGGGACAGGAACTGAACAGCCAGTTCTGGGGAGGGGTCAAGGGGGAGGGCAAGAGCTTCTTGAATCTTACAGCAGTGTCTCCCAACCTGGTCCTCAGGGAAACACAGTCAGTTCATGTGTTTGCTCCCTCCAAGCTCCCTGCCAGACAGTACATATTTTTGCTTCCTCCCAGCTCCCGGTAGGAGCAAAAATGTGGATTATTTGGGGGTCCCCAAGGACCGGGTTGAGAAACACTGTCTCACGGTGTCAGAATATGCGGACTGAGCCACCTGTGCATAATCTCGACCACCCCACAGAAAGCTTGCCACTGTACCGCCACAAATTCACAGCCAGGTTGTCGACGTCCTGTGAGTCTTTAATTCTTGTGATATAGCGTTTGCAAAGCCAGTGCTTTTCCCCACATCTGCCAAGTGAGTGTGTAGCGCTGAAGAGGGACGAGCTCAGCAGCGGGTAGTGAGTCCGCCTGCCTCTCTGCGTTTTTGCCAACCGCTGGTGAAGGGTTTCGAACAGGTCTGTCAGAATGACAGGTTCTGTTATCCTGTTTGGGTCTCCTGTTCACTAAAACAGGACAAGCTTCTTCAATGTTTACCCTGTTCCATGGGCAGAAATGAAAAACAAACAAAAAAGTGTGGTTGCATATACCAGGTTAGATGGGTTTTAGTCAGAGCCTTAAGTATACTGATCAGACCATTATTTTGAGATGTACCAACTGTGATCTTCCAGCTGATAGTCTCATGAAATCCTCAGTGCTGGCAGGTTGCCTCACACAGTCTTCCTTCTAGGGAAGTCAAAGATAAGAAGAAGAAGTTGGCGTCCTCTGGCAAGTCAGGCTCGGGGAAGGGCAGGTGAGCCCCGAAAGGCCGCTGTGCAGAGAATGACCTGTCCTGTGAGGGATGTCTCAGAAGGCTGAATCAACCCCATTTAATGTTACTGCAGGACACAGAAAGGAGACGATGGAGGACAGTCGGAGGAGCAAGCGAATCAAGACGTAAGCGACCCCTTCTCTCCTCCTGTCAGCCCAGGGCATATGCATTTTTCTCCAGCTTTTAATAAATCCCTAAACTGCATTTTTTTTCCAGAGCCAAAATATTGTGGCAGACATTCAGAAAAAAAGCTATATAATTACTCTGTTGTAATTTCAGAATTGGAATAAATGTCAACGGACTTGACGTTTACATTTGCTTCATGTGGCACATTCGCTTTATGTGACGTCGATTCCTAGATTTTCTGGGGAAAAAAACAGCAAGCATTGTACTGCCTATAAAAATAAAATGTTCACGCTTGCTGCATTGGCAGCATTTCAATTGATTTATCCCACGGATAGCCCCACCCTCCCAGAGCCGTCACAGTTTTTCTACACAGAAATGGTTAGATGTGTGATGAGTCACCGAATGTTATTGTCCTCCTCGTTTGCATGTTTGTTCATTAAGATTCATCCTAATTTAATCACTGTTGCTCACCAATCAACCCGGTGTAGCTCTTCTCTTTCAATCTGAATAATTTCCGCGTTGCGGATTCACGCCAGTGTTTCAAAACGTAGATTTGCATCTGAAATAAATTGCAATATCCTTTACGAGTACCCCCCCCCCAAAAGAAACTGATTTTTAGTAAATATAAAAAGTTGTTCTGAGGTAATTCAAGTGAGGATTTCTGAAGGTGAGGATGTGAACTGGCAGGACGGCAGTGTCAGTCTGACCACTGGCTTTATTGATGGGAACACTGGCCAGCTGTCTCTCATTTGTGTTACCCACAGCTCTCAGATGGGTATGCTGTACAGCAGGAGCTACTCGAGAAGAAGCAGGGAGTCACTGTAGAGCAGATCAAAGAGCAGAGCAACCAGGTAAACAGGCTAATGGGGCCGGTTATTAACAGAGGTGGGTAATTCAGGTTCAGCGAGTAAAAATCTAGACCAAGATATTGTTTTGACCAAGCAGGTGAGTATAGAGAGTCACAGTCACAGAGTACTGAACTGGTTGGTTGAAACTAAATCTTGGACTAGACTTTCACTCTCTGGACCTGAACTACCCGCCTCTGGTTATTAAAAGCCCCATATCCATCAAAGTCCTGGGGAAGGGAGGTGTTTGGGCTACATTTAGGCAACTGTGTTGTTGGTTACTGTATCAGGGTGACCTGCAGGTTTATGGTATAGGCTGGTATTCATGGTTAAAATTTTGCTGTGTCACATGGTCAGTCTGGGGGCACCGTCACTGTGGACCCTGACTCTTGAGGCCTTAAGGATGCTCACCCTGGCCTACGCATAGATTTATTAAAATGCGATGTTAACGGAGAGTAAAGGTTACTTTGATTAAATGGATAGTGAATAAATCATTTTCATCCTTTACTATGCTCTAAATGCATAGAAGCCCTGCATAGAACAAGTGGGGATGGTTGGATGGATGGATGGATGGATGGAAAAGTAAGATGTATGGGGTAATTGCATTATCATTGTGTTTGTTCAGTCCTGTGATGACTCTTTCCTTAGAACTGACTGTTTCCTCACTCCCTGCCTTTTGACCGCTGTTCCCCTGACCACAGCTCAACCAGCAGGCCCTGGAAGAGTACCATAACAAGATAAGGACACTTCCCAATGACCTGCGTGACGCCGTAAACGCTTGTGTAGGAGAACACTTTCCTGAGCAGGTGGACCAGGGCTCCACGGTGCAGCCAGAAGGTGGCCCCTATGGCAGCATATTCCTGGGTTAGGCCAACAATCCATCTCCCTGGACAGCAACCCCGTCTGATCTGCTGGAGGTTTTTGGTAGCCTTATATTTATATTTCAGAGCATCTAATCGTGTGACGATGACATGGGAGACAGCCACGAAGGCCCGAAATATATTTTTATTTTAACGTAAGTTGTCATTCCACTAAACAACAACAAAAGTCCCATATAATGTAAATAAGTGAAACAAACATGCAGTGAAAAAACATGCTCCTCTCTTAAAGCCTGTGTATGTCTAAGTGCCTTCACTGGGTGCATAACACTTGTCAGCGGGTGACAGTCCAGGGAGGGGGGTGACAAGGGCTCAATAAAAACCTCCTTTCAGAGCAGGCGCTGATCTGAGGCAGTGAGTCAGCCTGTCACACTGAGGCTCAGCCCATTGCAAAGATCACTAATAATTTTCCTTCCTGACAGACAAACTCTGAAATTATGTTTGTTTTGTGAGACTAAAGATGGAATCCATTTACAGGGTTTTTGAGTACTGAATAACTTGCTACTGGTTGACAGGACTTTTTGTCCACGGAAATGGTAAAAATTCAAAAAACGAAAGCCGGAATTCAAGAAGGCCTTGACTCAAGATGATTTCAGATAATACTGGACTTTGTGAACTTCCTCTTCCTGTTTTTTATTTTTTTTTTAAGTAGGATGCAACTGGCATGATGAACAGTCACGGGCCTTAAAAACACTGCTGTAAACACTACAGTCAGAATGTCAATGGGCTGTTGGGTTGTGAATCTCGGATTTTATTAATATTTTTCTATACTGTACACCAGTAGAATGTACTGTACAACAGTAGTGCCTGTGTTATACTTGCCATACAGGTTAATCGACTCTAATCACCATATAGCAGACTTGAAATTATTCTTGGTTGTCAGTTTTGCCTCCCTTCTGTCAGGATAATCCATGTAACGTGGGGACAGAAGTGCAAAAAACACTAAATACTACTAATTTGTCTTTTGTTTGTCATGTACCTTCATGTTTTAGTTTTATATTTATATTTAATGGATTAATAATTAAGTAGCTGTTTCGGTTCTTAGAAATTATTTGAGAAATGTTATGGATTCGGGGGAGACATTGCACAGCGTGCGCACTTTGATTCTAATGCTGTCTCTTTGAACTATCAAATTTGTACACGAACACAAATAAAGTTAATAAACACTAACCACATATACAGGCAGGGTTGTTCATTTGTGCTTGACTGATATTTGCCTGGCTGGTACATTCGCTGCTTTTCCATTTGTTTTGAGTGCACATGTGACCACGTGAGAGTGATTACGTGGAACACATCTGACAAAAACACACCAGAGTTGTTTTGCCTTGACCTTCGGCCTGTACTGTTCGCATGAATGCTTTTCCTAGAGGATTATTTTTCTAATTTTGAATTCACTTATAATCGCTGGTTGTAGCCTTTACCGTGCCTGCATTGGTGCAAAGAAGTACAGAAATACAACATGTTATATTTGTCGCATACGTTAGTACCTATTGTTGATAACGCATTTGTAAACGTCTTAAGATCACCAGCACTGAGATTGAATAAACCACATATTTCGTGGGTGCAATAGGGTGCCCTGACTTTGAAAGTGTCCTTTCATAACACATCCGTCCTGGTGCCACCTGCCCACGTCTTATGTAAGTCCTTTAGAGCTCGCCCCGCCGGCTTGCTCTGGTAAATGTAGCGGAAGGCCATCATGAATTCCCCACCCACGTTTAAAGAGACAGGCGGAGCTTAGAAGCGGTCGAGAGAAACCAGAGAACATGGTTGTTTCCTCCCTTGACGTAGAAAAAGGTGATGGGACAGGAATTATCGCACAGCTGTCAATCAGGCCTGTAGCCACTAGCCAATAGATTTTGCTAAGTGAGGTG